TCCTGTGTTGCCTGGGAGGGACTCTGTCAGGAGCCCTTGCAGCCCCCCCACCCCCAAAACAGAGTTTCCATTTGGAAACTGCATACACTCTGCCCTTCTGAAATGCATCTAAAGTGCAGAAAATTCACCCTTCTCTTGATTTTTTCTTTTCAGCCTCAGCTACATTTTATCTAAGTTCTGTTCTTTATTTTCCTCAGTTATAACTTTCATAATAGTACTTTTGCACTACAAAAATGCCCTGGTGGGTCATCCCTAAGCAGTTTTCAAACAGTAGGGGTCTGAGCACTTGCAACTCACGCTGACATAAAAGGGAGTCTGTGTATGCTCTCAGTTCTTTTGAAAATTAGACCCCAACGCAGTACTGGCCTGGGTACAGGCACCAGTTACTGTGGGGCAAAGCCGGATTTTAATGCACATTATCTGCTCCCCTGTAACTATCCACATGCTTGCTTTTACCTTGCAATAAAAGGAAGTTAAACCATGATGATACCCTTAGCCCTCAAGCCTTACAAAGATGGCTGGTGTTTTTGCCATTCTGAAGATACAGGTGGGTGCAAAGTGAATGAGACAAGGTCTCCCACCCTGTAGGGGAGAAGGTACTGCAGTAAAGGAAATTCACTTTATTAGCCATCTTGTTTCATCCAGTCACTGTAACACCATGTCAACCCCCTCGCTTGTGTCCTGAAACCCCCATTTGACTCCCGGGTATTTGAGACACGCTTGATTTCACCGGCGTGCCATGTTTTTGCTTTTCTTGGCTTCCCCATCAGTTGCATTTCTAGCGAATTATCCTCATTTTTTAGACCTAGATTTGTGCAAAGTCTTAAGAAATACATAGTCCAGCTCCTTGGCTCTTCTTTGTGTTCCTTTGTTTACAGCTTGTTGATGCCAAAAAAAAGCATATTGTGATGGGGACGCACCTCATGGTTATTTCCCAACATAAAAGCATGCTACGGAGGGCACGCTGCACCTCAAATAAGACCGACTTGTGCATTGGCTCTGTCTTACCTCGAGCAATCCTTAGGACCCTCATGATCCGGATAATAGTGGGGTTAATGGGCAACGATGCATTCACCTCGATCTCTTCCAAAGTTATACCCATGATAGACAGCAGCACTATTGCCAGGTCTAATTGGTTCCATCTGAAGACAACACAAAGTCAAGCTTAACATACTAAGGATATTGGGCAATGGGTGCCTTTTTATTTTTATTTTTTGGTTAATTCCAATCATTTCAGTGGTTCTGTTGCTCACAAACTCAAATGCCTCCTGAAACATTTTTGAGGGGTATACAAAACAGCTGTTAGGCTAGAAAATGAACCAAATCTGAAGGCCTTGTTCACTCGCTGCTACAAAACGCAACAAAAATAAAACTAATAAAACTCAAGACCGATCCTCATGCCCAGCACAATGCAGACATCAGGCAAACACCTGCATCCTTCATTCAGACATTTCCCATTCAAAGAAACTCACAAAGCTCAACGGGAGTTTTGCCCATGTAAAACCGGCGGGGTTTGACCTAGTTGTTACATCACGGGGGATCGACGGAGTGGTACCAGCGTGAGATGACAGTGAAAAGCACCTCAGAAAGATTTGTGTTGGATCAGACAGAAAGGTTGATCACGACACTGATGTCAGACTAGTGACATGTAGGGGTGAAATGATTTCCCCAGGTACGTGAAAGTCTGACATGCTCTCAACAGTCATCTCGAGGAAGAAGAAAAGTGAGAGAAGAAAGGAGCAGGGAGGCAGCGTTAAATGGATAGATATCGTAATTCCTATGCTAACAGAAACTAATGCCTAGCATTCCTCCAGGTCTGTAAATCACATCATGGGCCCTCCCCAGCGGGGGGGAAGCTCTCCTCAGATGCTAATATACAAAGAATACCAGGCTAGATATAGGCCCTATGCTACATCCAGGGATCTCACAAGGCCAATGCATCAGCGGCACAAGTTATCTGTCAGCTTGCAAGAGGGTGCAACTGCACGCGAAGCAGCAGCTTGCACCGATCTGCTCTTCAGCGGCTACGTAAGGAGAGGCCCCAGCCCTGCTTACACTGGCACTCTCCTTTTAGCCGCCTCTCTGCTTACAAAACCCTCCCACAGGGCCTGATTCTTTTGGCACAAGTCGAAATGAGCTCCACTGAGGTCATTAGGGATACGCTCGTCTCAAACATGCATGAGAAGAGAACAAGCCACTCGCCGTGAAATTTGCACTCATTTTGCACACCCACGGAAGC